GGGCTACCAAGATGATCCAAATCATGGTCCATGACCTCAGTAAGCTTGTGTCTAAAAGGAGCTGGACATATAACTGAGAATTCCAACGTAATGTTGTTATTGTTTTGATAAAACTGTGAAACACTGAAGCTGAGCTTTTAGACTATTTGGAGAAAAAGGAGTGGAGAAGTGGAAGGAGGGGTCATGCTCAGGGAAGGATTTATAGAGGAGGGACAGCAAGGAATGAGTCTCAAAATATGAGTTGGTTACCAAACTAAAGAAGAGGAAACATTTGTTTGGACAAAAAGAAAAGACTTTTTAAAAAGTAAGAGATTATGTTGGTAAAACAGGAATCCTCACTCAACTACATTTTATCAGACAGAAAGTAACTAAAGGATATTTTAAGTAGAAGAGTGCCACGGTGAGATTCATATTTTATAGTGACCATTCTGATAGAAATGTGAAGCATGGACTTAATTGGAACAAAAATTGAGATGGGGAAATACTGATGTGATTTTGCCAGGAATGAGAGAGAAATGAATTGGACCAAATAAATCTAAGACAGTGGTTAGTAGGGAGAGAAAGAAAGGAAAAGATTCCAGAAATAGGTCATATCATTATATGGACATGTAAATTGGATTTGAGGGTATAGAGAGAAGTACAGGATGACTTTCAGATTTCTAGCTTAGGAAACACCAGGTGTTTCAATGGTTTCATTATCTCAGTATGATATAGGGAAGAATCGCAGATCTAGCACGTGAGAAGACCTCATTTAGGGAAGGAAAGATGTCGGGAGGCAAATGATGAGTCCATTTTAGTTGTAATAAATTTGAGGTTCCTGAGACTTTGAATAGTCGCTTCTCACTTAAACTTTACTGGTCGTGTATCACTTAAAATAAATGGGTAGTGAAGGAGTGCTGGTTGTACAGATAGAAAATAAAATCTTACCTCGTCTATGTCCTCTCCTATCCTACCACTCTATTTCCTCTAGCCTCCACCCCAAGCTGCTCTTTCTTCTTCCCTTTATAAGAACATATTGACTATAGAATCATATGTTCTATGTGCTCAGGAGGAAGGATGGGGGAGGAAGAAGAAAGAATAAAATAGGCTCTGGAGTCTAGCCTAAAGACAGCTCTTCTAAAACGATTTTCAATATACACTCTTCTAGAATTAATATTGTCTTCAGTTTGATATGCTTATTATCACAAGCAATAGTTATATGGGTAAAATAATTGTGTTAACTCAGTGACTATTACAAAACAATGAATACAGGAGCACTTAAAATTTATGTTGATGGCTTTACAGTGACACAGAATCTAGATGGTTCTAAAAATAATTACCAAGTGCATATTTGAAGAGTTAGTATTAAACTCTTCAGTTTTTTTCTTTTCCTGATCTTTGAACTCAATCAGTGAAATGTATAAATAAATCTTACACTAATTTTTTTCTCAGTTACTTTTTTATTGTGGCAAAATATACACAAAATAAAATTCACCATTTTAACTTACATTTTTAAGCGTGCAGTTCAATGGCACCAAGTACAATCATATTGTTGTGTCATCATCACTACCCACCAACTCCAAAACTTGTATTATCTTGATTTTTAAGAAAGCATTAATTGATATTTCTATTTTATATATTCTACTTAAAGAAAAAACAGAACTTCTGTTCTCCTCTAAAATTATGTCTAGAGCAATTCCTTCATAAATTGAATATCAGCTTACAGATATTTAAATTCAGCAGAGAATTTTAACATTGCAGCATTCTTATGTTCTGTAAGAAAAATATTGGGTTATTCAATTGAAGCAAAAACGCTCCATAGTTAAACATACCAATGTTATGAATACTAAATATTCTCTTCAATTACAGTGAAATTTAAAGTTCAGAACCCAATGTGGCTCTAGGAAAAGTAGAGTATGCCAGAATGTAAAATCATAATAATGAGCCATAGTCTATTATGATTCTTGGTCTACTATAAGCTACAATAAATGTTTTAAATGAATAAGTGAGTTTACAAGGGAAGAACATTCAAGGTAAGTTACATAAAATTATTATTAATTTAACAATTGTAAATCATGATAGTTAACAGGTGAAATGAATGTCTTATTACTTATTGAAATAAAAATTAACAAAAGTAGTGTTAAAAGTACTTGTGTTAAACAAGCTTAAATTATTCTAGCACATTAATTAAATTTCAATAGGCAGAGATTTTCAAGCGGGAGAAGCTTGAAAGTTAGTCAGAGAGAAAGGTAGTCCGTCATTTACCAAAGGTCACACACTCTGGATGGAGATCTCCAGCATGCACTGGGGCCATTTCGTGTTGAACTTCACGATGAGGAGCAGCAATGAAGCATGCAGATGCTAGAGCCAGACTACCTGGGTTTCCATTTCTACTCTGCTGTTTATTAACTGTGTAGAATTAGATGTACTATTTAACCTTTGTCTTCCTCAGTTATTTCATCCATAAAACAAGGCTAACCATAGAATTTTTGTGAAGATTAAATGCATCAACATGGGTCAAGTGTCTCCAACTGTATGTACAGCACATTCTAAGGACTTAATAAATATTAGATATTATCATAGCTGTGACCGCTTCTTGGTTCAAAACATGGCATAAGAAGAGGCTAAACGCCTCTTCTCCTGAGAAGAGTCCAAAATAATGCAAAGAGTATTCATGGAAGCTAGTTGATTTTATTTTCTTTGATGTACTTATTCTTTTGTTACCAAGGCTGATGAAAAGTGACTTTTCATTAAAAACACCACCACTACCAACCACTACTATCTTGCATCACAACCACCACCATTGCAGCTACCATCACCACCATCACCACAAGTTTTACCACTATTTCCATCATTACAATAGCCACTACTACCCCCACCACCATCATAACCATCACCACCCCTGCAATACCATCACCACCATCACTACCACCTTTATCATCACTATAACCATCACCATCATTAATGATGTTAATGATCACCTTCACTCTATTCACACTCTATTCTTCATTCTATTCACATTTTAAGCATCCATGTGAATAGAATAATGTGAATTTAGAAGTGCCATTTGGAGAGTGAATGATTACAAAAAAGATGTATATGTACACATACTGGTGAAGCGAGGAAAAAGATGAAGTGTTCAGGTAGATAAAGGAATACACCAGAAACAAACAAGAAGTTATGTTTATGTGTTATACACAAAGTTTGAGCCAATAGCTTCAGAGTAAAACCATTACAAAGGCAAAATGAAAAATTCCTTCTTACATGCTAATCTGTGCTGTTTGAAATCTGCAGCTAAAGTTGTTTACACTAGTGGTTGAGAGAATGGGCTTTAATTAAAGAGTCTTGGATTTTACTTCCATATCTACTTCATACCTGACCTTGATGATGCTATTTAACCTCCCAGGACTTGTATTTTCTCCATCTAAAAAATGATGGTTTCATTATTTAGAGTTAAGTGAATATTTAATAAATACTCACATATAACACAAGCATTCAACACAATGCTTGTGCAAGATTAAGATCTTCCCCTGTTGCCCTCTAGCCAGTTTCTCTCTGAACTTTAACTACTCAGTAAATGACACTATCATACTTAGGTAAGAGTTAACTTCAATTCAGCCCTTTCCTCCACCTCCTGCATCCCCAGGAACTCATTAATAAATTTTTCCTATTCTAATTCTGGAATATAGCTTAAATTCATCCACTTTCATTTTACTTCCCTGCTGCCATCCTTGCCCAAGCCCAGAGTACTAGCATAGATCCTTCTCTCAGTTGCTGCTCAGTACAATCAATCCTCCACAGAGCAGCCAATGTGAACTTAAAAACATGTAAATCAGATGATGCATAAAGTTTTCAGTAGTTTCCTATTGTACTTAGAATCCAAATTTAGCTCTTTACCATCATTTTTTCTACATGGTTTGTTCTCTGTCTACCTTTTCTACTTAGCCTCTTACCATTCTCCCCTAATTCTAGAAGCTTTGGTCACACCACCCTCCTTAGTGTCTTTTTTTTTTTTTAGATGGAATTTCACTCTGTCACCCAGTCTGAAGTGCAGTGGCATGATCTCAGCTCACTGCAACCTCCGCCTCCTGGGTTCAAGTGATTCTCCTGCCTCAGCCTCCTGAGTAGCTGGGACTACAAGTGTGCGCCACCAAGTCCAGCTAATTTTTTATTTTTTATTGTATTTTTTCCTGAGCTTTCGGCTGTGTCCTTTCAAGGAGGTCTCCTTTATATCAAGTAGTATTCTCCACACCTAATCCAGTTTCTCTTCATCATTTCACCTTATTTTTTAATAACTCTTGCAGTCTGAAGTTACATTTATCAAATATTTGTTTATTTATCTGGTCCCCTATTATTGGAATGTAAGAAACTTGAAGGAAATTACATTGTTGGTCTTGTTCATGTTTCTACTCCCAGTGCCAAAAGCAGTTCCTAGCCTGTTTTTGAAATGCAATAAAATATTCACTATGCAAATGAAAACTGAATTTTTTTGAGCGGGGCGAAATGTCTGACTTAACTAATATCTCAATCTGGAAAACACAACTATGGTAGAAACTGGAGAGAAATTTTTTTCTTATGGAGAAGAAAGCCCTCAAATCCCCCAAATGGAGGCAATAGAACAGCTGAGAAATAAATTCACATGTAAGCTTATGTTTGCAGTTCTCATAAATAATATTCTCATAACGTGCTCTGAAATAAACACAAAAATGTTTAAGAGAAACCTTTATTAATATTTTGCTTGGCTCTAGAGTTTATAATTGATTGATGCTTTATAATTGATCTATGTAAAAGATCTATTTATACTTAGGCTAACACAAACATTCAAGAGCTAAATCATTGCCAAGGGTATATAATGTCTAAAACCTAAATGCAGTGGCTCTGACACAAAAATAATAACAACAACAAAAAGACTATTTGGTGATAAGTTGAAAAGACATAAAGAAAAAAATCAGTTATTGTAATTAGTCAAAGAAGAAAGCAAAACTGAGATTGACATAGCATATCAACTATTCTGTACTCACTGTGCATGGGGTCTGCATCCATGGCTCCCCATCAATTTGCATTGGCAGAGACTTGCTAGTCCTGGGGGAAAATATTTCATTTTAAGTATAGCAAAGAAATACTTTATATTACAGACTATATGTGAGATATAAGATGATGAGACCAGGGAAGGCAAATATGGTAATAGTTGGGCTCTAAATTTATCTCCTATGAAAGGAGCTTCAACTCTCCACTATTAATAAATCCCCTGAAAAGTACCTTAGTCACAGGAATATTATGGGTTTCCTGTTAAATGTAATGATATTAAAAGAAAATTCTGGATGCCAAAAGAAAAATTTCAGGGTTTATGTTTAATGACACGATCAGAATTTCTACAGGCAAAAGAGATTCCTTGTTTTTATAACCCCACATTGCAAACTGGGAGAAAAGTGTTTGATGTCTCAGATTTTCTAGCACTAATATTTTCAGATAAATAACATCAATTATGTCTGTGCTACAATCCGTGGTTTCACCTGGGCAGATCACGAGGTCAGGAGTTTGAAACCAGCCTGACCAACATGATGAAAACCCATCTCTACTAAAAATACAAAAATTAGCCAGGTATGGTGGCGGGTGCCTGTAATCCCAGCTATGTGGGAGGATGAAGCAGAAGAATCCTTGAAACTGGAAGGTGGGGGTTGCAGTGAGCCATGATCGTGTCACCGCACTTTAGCCTGGGCAACAAGAGTGAAACTCTGTCTCAAAAAAAAAAAAAAAAAAAAAAAAAAAGATCTCTTTTTTTTTTTTCCTGCAAGTGAAATTTTGGGGAAAAAAATGCTTGAAAAAGTTAAAATTTAAAACATACATAAAATCTTAATGTAGCACTTTAATCCTTGAAAGAATTTAAGTCAATGGTGTCTTGTCATTATTTTCATTAGATAATTTGCCCAGTAAATACTTTGGTGCTTCAGTAGACTAATATGAGTATCAACCATAAAATTTGTGTGTTTGAATTCGTGCATCAATGTGTCCATGGTAGTCAACAAGGGAGAATCAGATTCCAACAAACCAGATAATTAATAGCTAACCAATATTTTATACAATCTGCCTATGTCCATTTATTCTGAAATATATTAGTATTAGTCACTGATCATTTGGAACCCAAAGACGACAATGTTACTATGAGAGTTCTGCATACTTTTAATTAGTTTGAGGCTATGCCATATCAAACGCCTTTGTCAATTACAGAAGGAGAACTACCTGATGACCACACAGGAGCATTGAGCCAGCCGCCGGCCAGCACTTTTCAGGCCTGTATATATTTGCCCCATCTCCATGGCTCCTTCCAAGCCGACCACCTCCAGCAGCTGGTCACTGAGATCTGAAAGAAAGTAGATGCCTTTTAAGTTACAACGTGTATACATATATCCACAATTTAATGCCATTTGATATTATGGAGATTTTAAAAAAATAACAGCCACTTCACAAAAAAAACTTGTCTTAGAAACTTAAAGTAATAAAAATATGGCCTACTTTTATAACTCTCAGTTTAACTAAACCTTGAGGTTCTGTGGGAAATGATTTACTGTCAGCTTATTCTAAAACAAAATGGGAAACACAGATTCTGAGCCAAATAATACTTAAAAAAAAAAAAAAAACCAGTAGTTTTTAACATCAACAAACTTAATGTTATTCCACATGTATATAAGGACCATTTATACATCCCACATCAGACATTTGGCAGCAAATACACATTTCAACACTATAAATAAAATATGAGGATATGCTGTCAAACATGATTTTGTTAAATTACTCGAACAAGAGACCTTAGAGATCATGGAGTTGAAGCTTCTGATTTTATACATTAGAAGATGGAGTCCCTAAATCTTTGAGTTAACTTGTCCACAGTAATAGGTAACTGTACAGAAGTTCAAGAAACAATAGTAGTTTTGTGAAATGTTTTTCCGATATTAAGGAATATTCTACCAAAATACTGTTTGGTAGTATACTAGATAATTAGTCCCATGCAATCATTATTATTATTATTTTTTTTTAGCAGAGGACATTAGAAAAGTGCTAATAGTAAGAGTTATTGCTTGTTGAGTATTTACTAGGACTAATTATATTATCTCATTTGCTCCTGCTCCAGACCAATTTAAGATAAATGTGATTCTCCCCATTTACAGATAGAGAAGCCAAACATTGAAGAAGTTAATAACTATTCATACTCACATACCTAGAAAGTGACAGAGCCAAAATGTGAACCCTATTGCTTTGATGCACTATGCTACATTTGATAAGTCAATCATATGAAAAGGGCAGACTTTATAAAATTTTAGAAATCATCTTAACATAAAGGTGGAGGTCGGACTGTGTGAGCTTCAAGGTTCCTTTCCAATCTGAATATTTGCATTCAGCCGGAAATCAGAAGTTGAACTCACATCAGTGGAATCCCAGACAGTCCTGTCCCAAGACTCAGTGACAGCCCTTATGCTCACCTATTTAACTCAGAGTCCTGAGACCCTTGATTTGCAGGCCAAAGTCTAGGTGCACATATATGGTTCTTTTCCATTTTAATATTCTTATGTGTTTTTGTATATTTTCAAATGTAAATACATAATTTTACATTGTTTAGTAGCAGAAAAACTAGAGGGGTGGAATACAGTGGGAGGCATGATTATTATACAAGATAGCCACGTAATAGTTGGTCATATTTGAGGTTGGACTCATAGAAAAACAAGCAAATGTGTTTTGCATGGAATCCACTTTGTACACAAAGTGCTCACTCCTCTCTAATAACTCAATTTTAGCATAGAGTTTAGAGATGCTAATGATTTATTTTCAGTGTAGTTCAACTGTGTGGCAGCAAATAGTGCTTTGCAATCTCAAAGCCCAGGATCATAGGCAAATTTAATAAAAGCACTTTAAAAAGAATATGAGACCAAGCCACCAAACTTTTAAGTGAATAATAAAAATCTATTATTTTTAACTTTAAGCTGTAGCTGTAGCATGAGATTACTCCAAGTAAAAACAATATTTTAGCTACAAAATCAAATGTTAACTTAGAGCTTCCACCTTGCTGTTCTAAACCCCATTTAGACATATTTCTCATGAAACTTATTCTGTGTTTCTAGTTTAAATTCATGTTGCCAAGAACAGATGGACAAGGAATGGAAACATATTCTTTCAGCTGTAGCCGGCACTAAAATGTGCTTGGCTCTATAGCCTGGGTGTTAATATACGCATTTCTTAGATATATGTCAACCAGAAAACGACATTGTGGCAAGCACTAAAGTCCCAGATGTGTGCCTGCTGATATTTATAAAACAACAACTACCACCACGATGATCACCACCACAGGATTGGAGTTCACATTTAGTATTGTAGATTTTGCACAGCCTGATTTCTAAATAGGTAGAGTTCTGTGTTAATTTCCGCAATGATCTGAAACTGGTTGATGGGAACCATTCTATAAGAAATGAAACGCGTTCTCAAGACAGAGTTAATCTGTGAGCCCTAACTTTTTCATGAATCACAGGGATCTGTCTACACCCACACCATATTGCTACTGTCTACCACCCTCCTTCTGATTTTTTTCTTTAATTTGTCTTTGTTTTTCTGCTTGCAAAAATGCCTTAAAAATCAATTCTGTTGTTAATAATCAGTAATAAAGATATTTCTCATAGATTTAGAAGGCCAAGCTTTTTAAACTTTCATGTTCTTGCTAACACAAATAATTTTATAGGAATAGTGCCATGTTTACTAACTCTAGCAAAGGCAAATAAATACCATACTCCTTTTAATTAGGCATTCAGGGAGAGAAAATAAAGACAAAACGAAACTCTAAATTTGTGTTGTACAAATTTGCTCCCATAACACTTCCACGTTTTTTGATACAGCACAATCTGCAATCTGTCTGTATACAATTGATGCCCCTACATGTTATCTTTGAGATCAGGGTCCTGATTGATTTCAGACAGAGAGAGTTTCTATCTATGCAATTTTGAATTCTGTTTCTTTTCTTTTCTTTTTTTTTTTTTTTTGAATTCTGTTTCTATATGTGGTATCCTTTGGAACATCAGACTTCCTCACCTCACATTCTAGCTAAGAGTTATTTTAAGAACAGTTCTCCTTGGGATGGCCTAGCCAGCTAGATCAACCTATTTAATTGGTTTGCTACCTGGCTATTGGCTTCATATTTAAGAGTGCGAGCAGCAAAAGATGACCTATGGACCAAATCTGGCCCCTTCCCTTTTTTGTATGGCTCACAACAAATTAAGAATGGTGTTTATATATTAAAAAAAAAATAAAGTACTATAACATCTGAAAATTATATAAAATTCAAATTTCAGTGCTCATAAATTAGCTTTCATTGGAACACAGCCACGTTCACTGGGTTAGGTCTTGTCTATGTCTCTTTTTGTACTACAAAGGCAGAGTAGAGACCATATGGTCGACGAAGCTGAAAATATTTACTATGTGGACCTTTGGAAAAGTTTGCCAACCTATGCTTTAGAGAAACATGAACACTTTCAGATCACTAAGGTTGTCACTTTAGTACTGCTGCTATAAATGCTAAATGGCAATTTATTTTTTAAGGCCTGAAAGACATCATGTTCCAGCATTAATTCCACAGTGTATGTAACCATGCATAGAACAACTGTTCTCTACCAGGGAGCTTCACCACACTTGTGTACTAGGAACGTTGCCACAATTCATTGGTTATTTATCACGGAACACCACAAGTTTCCAAATAATTTTATTACAAAAGAAAGTAGAACAGTTTAACATTCATTAGTGTGCCTAATCATTGCCTCTGGTTGGCTTTCTTGAGTGTGAGAAAAGGAAGAATCATAGGTAGGAAGGCAGAAGTTGCAACCAGACCTGGAGATTCACGCGGGAAGCAGCTCTACCTTCGAAAGTAATATGTCAAGAACTGTGAAATCCTGACACCATAATATTGAGACACATTTGTGTCTGTCTAGAGGAAGATATTGCTTTTGTTCAATTTAATGTTATAAAGTATGCTTTTGAAGGAAAACAAAGTACATTTCTGAAAGAGTTTACATGTCTTTTTAAATACCTCCATGGGAGTAAAGAGAGACAAGACAAGCTTTCAATTTGGTATTTTCACATTTAAAACAGAGCATCTAAGGTATTTCAGAGGAGAGAAACTTAATAAAATCATCAAAATTGGGTCATATTGGATCAAGATTCTTAACACATGATCTGTGAATCTGAATAGGAAAAATGCAACTTTATTTTCACTAACATGTAATTGAAATTAAGCATTTCTTTCAAACATAAATGTAGTCAGGAATGCCTGTGATTTTGTCACTCGTATCACATTATAGTTGTTACAGTATTTCCTACTTTAAGCAAAGGTAACATATTTTAATTATCCACAATACTAAAATATCTACAATAGTCTCTAGAAAATAAAAGAATACATTAAATTTTATTTTATTTAATTTTTTTATTTTTATCTTATGTATTTTTTCAAAATGTTATTTATATTCATTATGTCAAATTTTAATAATTATTGAACGTCTAGATTTTAGTTTGTTAATAAGAAAGGATATATATCTCTAAATCAAAATTTCTAACAGTATTTTAATCTAATTTTTCATAGAAAAGCATATATATCTCTAAATCAAAAGTTTAACAGTATTTTAATTTAACTGACTCCCTTTTTTAGCCTACATATTTTATTTTATAAATTTTAAAACATTATGTCTGAGAAGAGTCAGTAGATTTCACCAGACTGGCAAAAAAGACTACAACACAAAAATGGTAAGGAACCTTACTTTAGAATGGAATTCATCATTTTAAAGTTTATAAGTCTTTATAAACTTTATAAATCTCTTTCCGAACATAATTAGTGCGCATTCATTTGTTACACAGGTAATCAGGGATATGAATGTAAATCTGAAAGTCGGGGCACATATAGATTAGAGGACACACGAGCAGCTTAGCTAATAAGTGGGTAATATTTATTCATAGCTTAGTCTTCATTTTTGACAGTTATGCCCTGATAATATGTCTCATTATGTAATTGTTTCAGACTGCCATATGTGAAGGAACAGAAGAGAATGCATTACAAACACAGACTGAATGTGGGTTGTAGCATTTCGCAAAATATAGTGGATACTGAAGAAAGGGGGAGAAAGGCTGGAGCAGAATAGGATAAACCCCTTTGTGCAGAGTGTCCAGCAACATTCTGCACCACTGTCAGAGGCCATGTGGAGGTACTCATTGACTCAGCAGGGACATTTTGAAATAAACATAAATTGCTAATTATATTGACACTTATTGAGTCATTATTTGGCCATAGTTAAGACCAGGCTACCTATGGAGTTGTACCTTTTGAAGGTTTGTACA